TCACTAGGGTTTGAAAACTTAAAAATCAAAACTCTGAAAAACTTGTTAAAACTTCAAAAGGGGGGTTGAGTCTAACTCATTTGGGGTCAAGGAGTTCAATAATTACCTTAGATTTGAGAACGCAAGTCGTTTGATGGGTAAAAAATGAATTTGCAGGTCTGGATAGAGATGGAAAGATGAAGGATAAAATTGGTAATTTAATTTTTTAATTTAGGAAAAAAATTTATTTATTTTATAGCACATGCTAAACGCGCTTAATTAGCGCGTGTAATTACCACGCTATTAGATTTGTAGTTTGTTCACAAGTTAGGGGAAGTTAAGTGAAATCTGAAAAAATAGAGGGGGTGAAGTGAGAATGAGGCTTATACAGGGTTTTTTTTTTTTCACTTTTTACCCTATTTTTTAATCACATTCATTTTAGGAAAAATTTTATCCACATCTCCACTAGTTAGGTCTAAATTTAATGATACCCCCTCCCAATTTTGAAATTTTTCTGCACTCCCTTTTGGTTTGTACTTTTAAATTAAATATACTTCCTTAAAGGTAATTTTTAACTTTGATAGTACAAAAAGGTAATGGTTTGACTATAAATTTTTTAAAAATATCAAAATTTTTCTTCCTTATGTAAATACAATAAAATGTTCTCAACTCTTTTTCCACTATAATTACCATTCTTTTTGTTGATGCTAAAGATAAAAAACGATCTAGTGTTAATGGAAGACTTAGGAGATTGAAGTCAACTATTCTTTTTTAACTCATTTTTCACAGTGATTGATTACTACCTAAGTTGGTAAAAATATATAAATATATATATTTTTTCTTTCAGATTTGTAAATATTTTTCATGCAAATTTAAAAAAAAAAATTCATGCAGTTTTGTTTTAAAATTTTTCCATGCAATTTTTTTTTTTAATTTTTTCATTCAGTTTTTAAAAAATTTTGTCATTCAAAATTTTTAAAATTTTTTCAGGTAATTTTTTTTTTGTTTTTTTCACACAAATATTTTTAATTTTTTTCTTGCAAAAATTTTTAAATTTTTCATGCAATTTTTTTTTAAAATTTTTCATGCACATTTTTTAATTTTTTTTCTTCAATTTTGTTATGCCAATATGTTGTGATATATTATTGTAGGATTGATGTCTTCTTCAACTTTTGGTGGAGACAAAAACATAGGGGAAGAGAAGTTTGACATAAACTTGATTTCTATCATTTTATTATCTCAATGAATTTTTATCATTTTAAAGTGTTGCATGATAAATTTTTTATAATATTAATAATTATATTATCACTTATTTGGTTATATAATCGAATTTTTTATAATTTTTATAATTAAAAATAAATTTTTTATAATAAAAATTACAATCGATAAAGTCTATGTCAAAATCTCATCAATTTCTAACTCCTCTACTATCATTTGTCCTCTATAACTTCATTTGACCATTTTTCACACATCACCCTTCATATATAAAATTTAAATATTATTTGATAATATTTAATGATAATTGAATAAATTTGGTCTTAATTTGATAAATTTAAATATTAATTTGATATTTATATTCAATGTTGATTTGATAAAATTTAATATTACTTGAATAAATTTAAATGCTGCTTTAATAAAATTGAATATGCATTTGGTGTTAAATTAAATAATTGACATTAATTTAATAAGGTTAAATGTTAAATTAATGGAATTTAATATTCTATGTAATATATTAAATTTTAATTTAATAAAATTAAATGTCAATTTGGTAAAATTAAATAATAATTTAATACTAAATTAAAGAAATAATATTAATATAATGAAATATAATATTAAATTAATATAATTAAATGTTAATTTGATAAAATTAAATATCAATTTGTGTTGATTTGATGAGATGAGATGTAAATTTAGTTTAAATTAAATAAATGATATTAATTTGATAAAATTAAATATTAAATTGATGAACCTAAAAGTTAATATAATAGAACTAAAAATGAGTGCATTGACAATTGAGAGGAGGTATAGTTAAATTTATGTCTATTTGTAAGGGGTGTCGTTGAAGTTATGTCTATTTACAAAGGGTGCGGATAAAATTTACTCTATAAAATATTTAGGGGTATTTCTATAAATTAACAATTATCGTTAACGCCGTAACCCGAGAAACACTGACAGGAGGTGACAGTGAAATTTTAAAATCGGGGAAAGGTGTCATTAAATTTAGATCTAATTATAGGGGTTGTGAATTAAATTTTTCCTTCATTTATTTGGGCCTTTGTATGGGCACATTAATTTGTGGGTTATGATTTAGGAAATAATACACAATTTGATTGAATTGAGGAATGTCAGGTGGGGTTTGCATTTTATTTGTTTAATCAACATATTATTGAGGTAGATTGTGTACTTAGTGTTTTATAAATTGTCTAAATAGGTTAATAATTTATTTGGGTCTTATTCTTATGGGAAACTTTGTCCAAATTTTTTTAAATAAATAATAAAATATATTTTGATAAGAAGAAAGCTACTCTAATAGAGATTCTAAGAGTATATGGATACACATTCACTCCCACACGTAAGTGCAAAAACATCTAAAGAGGGATGTTTTGCTTCTTTTCCTTTTCTCTTTTCTCTTTTTGGGAGCGCATACGAGTGCTTTAGGTTGCATTTCATTCGAGAGTTGAGTGGAGAGAGAGACAACGGTGAGAGAAAGGAAGAAGGCATTGAGCATCTGAATTCACTAGAATACAACTTTTATTTTCTTCTTAAATTTCTTGGGTGGGACGCTTGTCTAGATGCCCTATTTGTATGTAGATGCATGGGTGCACATTAGAGTTGTCAATAGATTAGATCAGATAGGACTGTGTCATGTTTTTATATTGTGTAAATTGCGTCATGTCAAAATTTATTTTATTCATACTCAACTTATTTATTATCGTGTAGAATTGAGTTTGTCAAAATTATTCTTGCTTTTTTTTTACGCCACAAAAACTTATGGATTAAAAATTGAGGTCCGGATCTCAAACTACGTTAGTTTGGAGGTGAGATCATGGTCATATTTATAGCTCGTGTAAGGGATAAAAATCGCTACGAGATTTCAGCTCTCCACTCGAAGGATTTCGGCTGATCTGGTGGCACTGAGCCCCAATAGCCTTTACCTCCTCTTTTGAGTGGAATGGCTTATATGCGAAGGGGGGAGACGACCCTCTTCCGATGCTCCTTTGAGTGCAAGGGCTTATATGCGAAGGGGGGAGACGACTCTCTTCCGATGCTCCTTTGAGTGCAAGGACTTATATGCGAGGGGGGGAGACGACTCTCTTCCGATGTGGGACAAGCTCCTACGGGCCGAAGAGAGGTAAAAGCTACTGGGGCTCGGTGCTGCCAGGTCAGCCGGAATCCTTCGAGTGGAGGACTAAAATCCCGTAGCGATTTTTACCTCTTACAGCTCGTGATAATAAAAAATTAAAAATAATACACATTTCTAAAAACCAAACAAATGTAAGGTTCCCCTTTCCTTTTTTTTTTTTTGAGCAATTAGTCTTATAATAGCCTTGCATCGCAAGCGATCTATGACTGTTATTGACAAACCATGATGCAATCAATGATGAGATCTATTGTAGTATGTAATGTATTTTACTATTAATTTATTTTGGTAAAAAGAATGCTCATCAAGGGAGATTCTAAGAGGATATATTCATACACTCACCCACATGTATACACAAAAGTGTTCAAAGAGAGATGCTTTTGCATTCTTTTTCTTTTCTCTTTTTTTTTTTTTTTTGGAGTGCATGTGAGTGTTTTTGGCCTTTGTTTGTTGCATTTCAGTCGAGAGTTGAATGGAGAGAGAGAAAGAGAGAGACAGAGGTGAGAGAAGGGAAGAAGACAATCAACATCTAAATATCTATTAGAGTGTAACTTTTCTTTTCTTTTTAAATTTCTTGGGTGGGACACTTCTCTAGATGCCCTATTGGCATGAATGAATGGCAATTCTTTGGTAGATGCATGTGTGGATTAGAGTTGTCAATAGATTAGATTGGATAGAATTTAAGTATTATACCTCATAAAAATTACTAATGTTTTTTTACACCATAGAAACATATGGATTAAAAAAATATAATGTTTAGATCTCAAACTAGGTAGTTTGGAGGTGAGATCTTGGCCATAAGGCTAGCTCGTGATGGCTCCAAATCTCATCATTTATTGATTAACAATTAAAAAGTAGGAAAATTTTCATTTTGCTCCTTGGAAGAAACAAAAAAATTTAGTTTGCCCCCCCCAATGATTAATTTATTCATTTACCCCTCAAAAAAATAAAGATATTACAACGTGGTCCAAAAATGTTGCAATCTGTTTCCAAAAACGTTTCAATAAAAATATTTTTGAACCACATTGTAATGTTTTTATTTATTTGAGGGGACAATGTGACAAAATTAATCATTTAAAAGGCAAACTTAAAATTTTTGTATCTTTTAGGGGGTAAAATAAGATTTTCTCTAAAGAATAATGCTCTTTTCTAAAAACCGAACAAATGTAACATTTTGCCTTTTTTTTTTCTTTTTTTGAGCAATTAGTCAAATACTAGCCTTGCATTGCAAGTGATCTATGACTGTTATTGATGAAACCGTAACGCAATAAATGATGTTATCCATTGTAGCATTAAATGTATTTTATTGTCAATTCATTGGTCCTCAAATTATGTTCCAATAATATTTCTCTCCGTTTAATTTCTTAAATCCTGGAAATTAAAGGCAGGAGACACTTGATTAAATAGAAAGTTGAAGAGCGGTTTTGTAGTCTGAGTCCAATCATTGCATCTCCTCATCTTCTCTCTCCATATTTCAAAGATTGTATCCTTCATTAGTCCCATAGTTCACAGATGAGCATCACACATTCTATCCATAGACACCAATTGATCCTCATGGAAGCGAGTAAGATCGACTTGTATAATGTCTGCTATGCGTGTAAAAAGCCGATCTCAGATTTTGTGTACTGGTGTTACCAATATCAATTCTTTTTGCACAAAAGATGTATAGAACTCCCTCAAACAATCAAAGACCCCATGCACCCTAAGCATCCTCTAACCCTGAGGGGATTTGATGAAAGTGAGTATTTGTTCCTACGTTGTGCAGCTCATTTTAATTACAAAAGTAGTTTGTGTAGAGAACCTCGAAGTGTAAATAACGATGGTTTCCTCTATGAGTGTTACGGTTGCCAATTTTATATTTGTCTTCCATGTTTCTTTGAGGAACGTAGAATTCGCTTGAATTTCATGAGCACCCATTAGCCTTTTTGTTCAGGCCAGCTTCGTTTTATTGTAATGCTTGTGGTAAGAAAGATGAAGACTCATCCTACATATGTCACACTTGTCCTTTTTGGATTCACAAAAATTGTGCTTCATTTCTTAGTACCATCCATTTTGATGATCAACATCACCCTCTCACTCTTGTAAAACCACCTTCATCTGACTTATCCCAGTTTAGATACATTTGCAAGATATGTCGTATCCACCCAACGCCGGAGAATTGGCTATATTCCTGTGATCTGTGCGAATATAGTATCCATGTGACATGCTCAATTTCAAGGTCAAAGCTTTTGAGGTGAGTTTAATCACAATCATTTCGTCTGTTTCTTCTTCTCATGTGCTGCCTGCAAAATTCTTACAATGTTTTTTTAAATTATTGCCGAGTAAAATTTGTCTTTGGGGTTTTGTGGGTTCAGAGGCAGTGGAAGTGAGAACGAAGACTATGAACATTTCCACCTTCGTCTGCTACACTTTCCATTAGCCGATGATTTCGTGGCTCTCGCTAGACATCCAGTTGAACAAATTAGTAATGAAGAGAATAAGAGAGAATCAAATATCAAAGATTGGAGCCATGTGCATTCGCTAATACTTTATGATGGACAAAATAACACTGAGATAAAGCATGACACAATATCATGTGACGGTTGCGTGCAACCGATATCGCTTCTATTTTACACTTGTGTTCAATGCAACTACTTTCTCCATTTAAGTTGTGTCAACTTACCACGTATGTTACAACGTCCCAATCACAGTGCGCTCCAGGGGCACGTGTACCCAGTCACGCTCAAGAGAGCAAGGAAACCTCATTCTCTCTTCCGATGCTCATCTTGTGGTTTATATGGCAATGGATTCTGCTACTCAGGTTTGGGATCAATCAATATTCATCTCATATGTGTTTTCCTACCAACTACTATTATGCATGAAACCCACAAGCATCCTTTGGTTCAAACCAGTAGAGATTTACTTCTTGAGTGCAGGGCATGTAATGTCATGTGCCGTCAGATCGGATACAGATGTAAGAAGTGCAATTTCGGTATATGCTTCTATTGTGCTCTTTTACCGTGTACCCTAAGGCACAGATGGGATGCACACCCTCTCACCCTAAGTTATCCTCCTATCGAAAACCATCTTGACGAATACTATTGTGAAATTTGTGAGATAGAAATAAAATCAAGGCGTTGGATCTATCATTGTAGTGATTGCGACTACTCTTTTCATCCTAAATGCGTTGAGGATAAATATTCATACTTCAAATTTGGAGGCACCCACAAAGTAGAAGATCACCCACATCCTCTTACCTTTACTCGAAGGGTGAAGAATGTTAGAAATTATAGTTGTGGCCACATATTTGATGATGAAAAGCCATTATACAAATGTGCAGAGTGTAATTACACGATTTGCTTGGATTGTATTCATTGATCTTTTAAGTTTTTCATTTAGTAAAAATTTATTTCATGGGTTGTGGTAAATTCTTGGGTGGAGGGGATGATATCATCTGTAAAGGATAGCAGTACCATTCAGCTTTTATTATTTTTAATACATATATTGATGTGTCTGCTCTGTTTCTACAGGAAGAAAAATGAGAATCCCTGTAAAACTTTTGAGAATTGATCAAGTGTTATATAGTTCAATTTGTTGTGTCTGATCAAGTCTTATATATAGCATCACTAAACCGTAATACTTCCAATTTTTGTTATTTTTATTAAAAAAAAATCAAATTTTCTTTTAAAAACCAAAGAAGTTAGACATTCTATTTTTAGCTTCTTTTTTTTGGGGATTTATACTTTGTTCATAATGTTTTTTGGGACAGAAGGAGCTTATTATAGTCTGTCTATTATCACTTTCATAGATAAGGAAAAAATGATAAGGTAAGAGATTAAACGCAAGATCAATTGTATGTAGAGATGATGAGTAGATTCAATAATAAAACTAAAAAAGTAAGAACTTTAAACCTATTAAATAATGATCTTCTTTATGAGTGAATGGTCTGTACCCAAAACTCTAGCCCATATGTCACAAAGTTTTTCTTGGGGGGTAATCTCACACAACCAAATTTGGTAGAGACAATAGCAAGAAAAAAAAAGAGTGGAGATAAGAAAAAGACTGAAACAATAAAAAAGGTGTGGAGTAGTCACTTGCAACAATCAAGAATCAATCTCTCTTTGCCCTCTCTCTCCCTCATGTTAAAAAGTGCAATTAGCAACAATCAAGCATCAATGATACTCTCTTTGCTTTCTCTCTTAGCACAAAATAAGATTAATATCATTGATTATTCTCTCTCTTAGCACAAATGTGCAAACGAAATTCATTCTTACTCACTCTCTAACTTTATTCTAAAAAAAAAATAGCAAGCAAACAATTTATTCTCATTATGTCTTATTGAATCTCCCCTTTTTATTTTCTCTTTATTACAAATGAACTATTTTTGTAAGTCATAAGGGCTGCTCAAGGCAATTCGAGACCTAAAGCGGTAACACTAAATGAGACATTTTTATTTTTAGTATTAATTTTTTTTATTTAAAATTAATGTTCCTTTTATTTTTTATTTAATATTAATTTATTTTCAATTTTTTGTGTGTGTGAGCGAGAAGGAGGATGCGTTAGTGTTACAGTATATAGAGAATGAAAGAAAAAGAAAAAGCTGTTTTTTTTTTGTTGGAGGTAAATATGAGTTAGACTTTTGACTACTTTTTTATTTTAATTTTTGATTTTTGGGTTTCTAATTTTATGGATTTGATAATAGGGAGAAATTATTAAAATTAAATTTTTTTTATTGGGCATAAATTTTTTGGGATCATGAATTTAATTTTTTATGTGGACTAACTATATACTTAAAATTATGGGACTTTCACTCTTTAAGTTCATTGTTTTAGCTATGTACCTAAACGAGTCCATTAATTCATGAACTATGAAATTTTATTCCTAAAACAAAAACCTTATAGTGCACTAAGTTATGGGCTGTCCACGGAATGCTTCAAATAAAATCTAAAATGAACTTGAAATACAAGTCATCAATAATACTATTATTGAATTTATTGTCTTTTAGTTCACTGTCGTTGAGTTTACTACATTTTAGTTCACTGTCAGTGGTGGTGGTAGGCAACGGCGGTGGGGGTTGATGAATGGCGGTGAGATAATGATAGTAGTAATAATAAATATAAGAATAGAATATGGTGAAAATTTTTAAATAACCTCATTCGTTAAAGTATTTTTGTCACTTGCCTTAAAAATATTCAAATTTGACCTCTTTTGTTAATAGTGCACAACTGTATACCTTTCGTTAAATTTCCCTCTAAGGGTATATCAATGCACAAGAATATTGTCACCGAGGGTTTGGAAAAAGGTCATGCATGCAGTCTAAAATAAAAATGGATGTTGGTTTTACGCAATGATTGATAAAAATTAGTACTACTTGTTAGTATAAGAATTAAATATAGGAAAAATAATGAAACAAACATAGATATAATGTGATTCTGTATTTACATCCACGGACTAAAACTTTCAAAGATTATAGTGATGTATTATTATTCTCTAGTAATTTGTCAATTGATTAAATTAAAACTCAACTCCATCTATAGAATTAAAATATTATCACTTAAAACTATTCAAATATTACTTGATGTTTTTGTTTCTTATCAGGTCACTAGTCAACCTATTCACGATACGATATGCTAAGACTTCTGATTCCTTTTCTATTCAATTTGGGGTTCTCTCACGATATTACCACAACAAACTCTGCCTTATGTATGAACTACACTGTGCTTAGTTCTCCCTTAACTTTGATTTATTTACTCTCTCTCTCAAAGTATTACGTGCAAATTTGCCCTTATGAGTTGCTACAATGTTCGTTATCTTTTCAAGAGGTTGCGTCACATTCTATTTTCTGTTACTTATTTAAATGATAGTTAGTGCGAGTGTCAACATTTGTCCAATATATGAACTTTGAGAATAAATTGATGAAACTAAAAGTTGAGAGACCAAAGTTCAACTAGTGAGAAACTTCAGGGGCTGTTGATGGAATTTATCCAAAAACAAAATAAAATAAAACTACACAAATGACTTCTAAACAATGAAAAAAACAAAAAAAGGAAGTTAAACCATCCAGACGAAATCAGCATAAATTTGGCTCTGGTATCATTCTTGTTTCACGAGGAACCGCAACGTAAACACGTGAAATGGAGGGAAAGCGTCCGAATTCGCAACCCTGCGATTTACTGAGCAAAATCAGAGGTACTGTGTCCATAACACTCGATTTTTGATTCACATTCAAATGCAAATGCATTTTGATTGTCGTTTTTAGAGCTTTTTCTGTTGATATGACTGTATTTCTATGCGTTTGTATACATACATACATACATACATATATATACACACACACACACACTTTTGCAGAGCTTACTCGATCGATTCTCGAAGATCTATGCGAAGGCCGTTCGCCGCTGGTTTGCATTGATCGCTTCAGAAATTACTGCACGGACACTTCTGGAAACTGGTTTGATTTCCTTTCTGTACCTCTATCTGAATGCGCACGTAATTTTTTTTGAAATTTAATTAGCAGATGTTTGGTTCACTTTTTGATATTATTTTCAATGATTGGGAAAGATGTTCTGAGTCTTGCTTGAAGAAGCAACGAATTAACCCGATAATGCTAGCCAGACGCCGTTACATTTCCGTGTCCAGATGATGAGACTTGTTAACCATAGAAGCTTTATGTATTTGGGTGGAATTAGGCCTTCTGGCTTTTAGATTGTTTGACTTGTAGGAAATTTCCAATTGATAGTCCCCGAAAATGTTTTAACTGGAATTTTTGGAACTTTCTCGTGTAGAATTGTTAACTTTAGCTCTCTTTTTTGGGATTTCCTGCTAAGATTTGGGGCAATTTGCAGTCCTTAGATTCCAGTTTCAAGCAATGCAACAAAGTCTAAGTTAATTTAATTTTTGTAATTCATTTGTCAGTAAAAAAACCCGAGAGTCTGGGGTTTTAATCGTAGCTTTGAATTGGGAATCGATGCGCTAACGTAGAACTTGCTATCAACCTTGGGAATAATGAGGCAAAAAATCTAATGAATACATGTTTGGTGTGTATGAGTTTTCGAAAGTAAAAAAAATCAAAGACTTAAGTTGCACTCCTCAAAAAACAAATAGAACTTAGGTTTTTCAAAACAGGAAGGAAATCATACAAGTTTTATGGTAATGCCCTTATTTTCTGCATGGAGATAATTTAGGGATCTTTGTATTGAAATGAGGAATGAATTTATCGGCATTTTACACTTTGATGAGTATTGGAAGAGCTGTTACTGATATGTGATTGAAACCTCTACAGATTTCATTTGAACTAAAGACACACTAGTTGTGTTATTAGTTTTATATACAAATACTCTCTGAATTTTAGTTTTACGTTACATTGGTTAACTCAAATTTTCCCTTCTATGATGATAATAAATCTGCTTATTTGTACATGTGATCCAAAGGATCCCTGAATGTTTCATTTGTTTAGGAGGTGGATTTATTATATAAGACAATCTGTGTTTGAAGTATCTTCAATTAATGAGTATTCCGGTGAATAGTTACATATTATGGGAGAGCTCAATTTAATTGCACATGTATGCAGCAGTTGTAGCTTGGATTTTGCCAAAGGAAAGGAAATTCTCACTCTACAGAGGGAACAAAACATACGGAGGCTGGGTGAGTCATGCTTTACATCTGGGAATTCTTCTTGGAATTTTAGATATTTTTAGGCTCCAATTTGGAACTTAGACAACAGGAAGGAAAAGAAAGGAAAATGATGGGGACTTTCACTTTATCTTGTTTGGATGTGTAATAAAATTGTGAGGACAAGAAAATACAAAGGAGAAAAAGGGGAAATTTTCACACCTCCAGAACAAGTAGAATTTTTCACAAAATACGGTGAGGAAATGTGGGAACTAGCAAGGAAACAAAGTAAAATTTAATAATATGAGCCATTTTTACCCTTTTCTTTCCCTAGCTATTTTTAAGAACCAGGCACAGTCTAAAGGAGACACAAAGCGGACTCTTAATCTTATTTGATTCAGTTTTCTGGATTCTCCACCAAAATATGGAAATGTATATCTTACATGGTCTTTCCATCCTTGCAGATATCTTGCTAAGAGTGCTACTTATTGTTCAGCAGCTTCTGCAAGAAAATAGACATGGTTCAAAAAGAGATATATATTACATGCATCCTTCTGTTTTCAAAGGTGAATCCGGATTGCCATCCAGTGTCCATTTGTTAATAGTTTTTTTTTTTTTTGGAACCAGTGCTTGGAAGTTAGAAAGCATATGCACTTGGAGATAAATCTGAGTATGCCCTTTTGGCTCATGTGGAAATGCATTATTGTATGGGATTCACATAACATAAATTTTGGGACGTGTTGCAGATTTTAGTTTGTATGCTGCTTTTGCCAAATATAGTGAAGTCTATAATTCTATTTTCAGGGATGCGAGGATATCAGTTTGCTGTGAACTGCTATGTTTCTTAGAGTTTAATGCTTTCTTTTGTTTATTATTTTGCTTTCTCTATGTAATTATAATCTCACTTTTCAAAACAGAACAGTCAGTTGTTGACCGGGCGATTAATGACATTTGCATCCTTCTGCAGTGCAGTCGCCACAACCTAAATGTGGTATTTGCTATTATCATCTTCCCTTTTTCTTTTCAATTTGTAGTCATTTGGTTCAATAATAGGTGGCGGAGGATCTGGTCTACATAGAATAAAATGTTGAAGCATGTTTATCAAGCCAACTTGAAGAAAATGTGGACAAAACTTGATAGTGTTGACAATGCTAATCTTTGTTATCTTCTGTTTTATTTCTTATAATGCGGTGTAGGGCAATATTCAACTTAGGATGGCTGCTGCCCTTTCACATGTGGTCGATGTTGCACATTGTGAGATGCATGGGCTCAGTCTTCTTGATTCAAATATAAGTGTGTAGAATCTTAGATGGTTGGTTATATTTCATATGAATATGTTGCTGTATGGAAAATGTAGGTTCACTATATTTTTTGTTGCAAATCTTTAATTTACATTATTTTTTGTCAAAAATATTTCATGAACTCATTAGGTGAAAGGTCAAACAACTTTGAAGGAATGCTTTATTGGAGTTTTCTAGTACTTATGTTGCTTTCATGACCTGAATCCCAGTTTTGATGGGAAACTTGCTATTGCTGATATATATCTTATTTTTTTATTTTTTTTTTTATTTCGTTGTTGCAGGTATCTGTTGGAAAAGGGTGGGTACCTACTCAAGATCACACTGGTTTTGTGGAAGATGATACTATATTTGTACCACCACTTGCTTCAAGTGATATTTCAAGTATTTTTTACATTTAAAATGCAGTAACCAACTTGCCATCTTGATTGCACTAGAAATCAAGGTCAGCAAATTGTGTGAAAGTTCATATGGCTAGTTCTGAATTAAAATTTCATGAAATCACATCCTTATTCTCTTTTCAAGCAACAAAATGAGAGATATAGGAGAAAGAAAAATTAGTGTTAACTCCAGCAATTATAGTTATATGTTCCTAGATTATTATTTCCATTAAGGATACGAATTAGAAATCTGGCCAGAGTTATGGACATTCTAATATTTGTGGACAAAAGAGACCTCTGCTAATCACACTGGAAGAAGTGTACCTCATCATGGCTGAGGCACAGTTTGACCATAGTTGCAGGAGTAGATTGTACATAAACTGTTTTACTTGTTAACATTCTACTGTAGAGTTTACTTGGGGCTCGGGGGTAATGTGAAGAAAGAGTTAGTGTTCACTGAATTATTGAATTGGTACCATGATTGAAATCTTCTCTTGGTTATGTTTTCATCATGTGTTGCATGTTTTGCTCCTTTGCTTTTGTTCATGCAATTATAGTGTGGGCTTATTGGCTGGTTTTTGCAATTATTGAGTGCGTTTACTGGTTCTAATGTTCATTGATCAATTTATTCCTGTTCTAGATTGGTGATGGGTTGGCTGAGATTCTTCGAAGGTGGAAGGAAATTTGATTGCATAAATGTTCCTAACACTGTAAGAACTAGAGATTGAACATGAGATGGTATGTTTGCTCCTATTGCATAATAGTCTGAACTGAATGCATATGTGTGGCTATCTGGCAGGCACATCCTGTTCCTGTGCAAGTAGAAGTAGTCAACAGTATCCAGTTGATCATGACAGCTGTATACATAACTAGATAACCTGTATGTAATGAACCATAGTGCAATCATCTTGATTCTGATCTTCAACTTTGGAAAAAAAGAAGAAAAGTTCAGCATAGAAGAAAGTTGATTTTTTCGAAGATGATTTTTAATGATCCATGGAGTTTGTCCTATAATTCACACACAAGTTTAGTATGTACTGGATCAAGGGTTGCAGATGATGTGAAGACAAATACGCTCAGAATTGTTATGTCCCTTAAGCCTTGCGTGCAGATATAGTTAGTGTTGCTCAGTACATACTAGTTGTGGAGAAAGAATCAGGTAGAAACGTCCGTTCAGCCAAGCTCGTAATTTAGTTTATTTACCCATATTGTTTTTGATTCTCGATTCATGAAATATTTATCGAATGTAATCATGCAGTGTTTCAGAGATTAGCAAATGATCACTTTTGCAAAAGAAACCGATGTATTGTCGTCACAGTGAGTATTTTTTGGGGGGGCTTAAGTTTTCATCAAAATCAGGTTTAATAAATGATGGTTTAACAGGGAAGAGGCTATCCTGATGTTCCGACAAGAAGGTAAAGACTCATTTTTCATTTCTTACAGAGCCAGAAAATGTTGCTAAATATGTTCTTAGGATATAGCTACAATTGTTGCTTGATGATTTTGGCCTCATGTCTATTTGGTCATGCATTTATTTTGTAACCAGATTTTTGCGTCTCCTCGTTGAAAAGCTGGGTCTGCCTACCTATTGCTTGGTAGATTGTGATCCATATGGATTTGATATCTTAACTACATACCGTTTTGGTTCTATGGTGAGGCTTTCTGATCAAAGAAGCTGCAGTTTCGATGTTATCTTAATGCTATGATAGTGCCTATTTCGATCAATACAAGTTCATAACCAACTTACTTCCCTCCCTCCTCACCCCCGTCCCTGGTGCATGGCCTCTTTATCTTGCCTTTCCGAAAGCAAATGGCCTACGATGCAGAATTTCTCCGTGTCCCAGGGATTCGCTGGATTGGAGCTTTCCCACAGGATTGTGAAAGATACCATCTTCCACAACAGTGTCTCCTTCCTTTAACAGCTGAAGGTGAGATGTATGTTAATGAATAGATCTCTTTCGTTTGGGTTATCATTTCGTATATTGTGATGAACATCCTAAATTTCTTGTCAGATAAGACGAGAATTGAAGCAATGTTACACCGATGTTACTTGCAACGAGAAGTATCTCACTGGAGGTTTCATTCTGTGACTCCCTTTCTTTATGATATACAGCTATTCTTCTTCATTTTCTAATGATATAATGTTGTGGACCTCTCATTGAAGGTTGGAGCTTGAGCTGCTGCTTCAAAGAGGGGTCAAATTCGAGATAGAAGCGTTGTCGGTACACTCAATCTCCTTCTTGTCAGAAGAGTATGTACCATCTAAGATTCAAGGTGGACTGTACATCTAAATCTTTGTCAATCTAATATAATCAGTTTAGACTATGTCATTAAAAGGTCATAGAAAGAAAAACATTATGTTACGGAAAAGAAATTCAGTCTAACGAAACAAAAAATGTGACACAATGTTCCTTAAAAGTCATAGTGCTTGGGTACTCGCATTTGTGAGAAAAAGTACCAAGTAACCCTTCACACAATACTGATGGCGATGGTTCTACTTCTGCACTGTGTACTAGAGGTGCAATTTGGGTGGGTTGAGCAGGTTGAGGGATTAACCCTAGCCTAATTTTAGGTACAAAATTTTCGATCCGAACTCGATCTTAACCCGAGATGCTCAACTCGAGTATTGTCCGAGTTGATTTCGGGTAAATTCGGGTTGAAATAGAATTACCTAATTTAGGTTGGCAATTCGGATTCAACAAATAGTAATCATAAATTAAGTGAGTTTTGCTTAATGTTGAACTATTACATAGGCTTATATGATCCACTAAGATGAAACATATTAAAGATGTAAAGGTAAACTTCTTCATATAGAGGGGAGATGTCACTTGAGTTGTTTATCCTATGTAGGATTATAACTCTTTGTTTTTTTTAACTTATTACATTTTATTTGTGTAATTTTTTTTCACCATTTAGAGTCCTTATAAATTATGTTTTACTCTCTTTTTAAATAATAATAATAATTACAAAATATGTATTTATATAAATATAATGCATGAATTTGGGTTGAATTCGGGTTAGATTCAGGTTGAATTCGATTTCATCAATTCGAGTTGAATCTTAACTCTAGCAAAGTCAATCCTAATACTATTTTTTCGGGTTGGGTTTGGAGTGGCCCGCCCAAATTGCCCCCAGCTGTGTACTACTTCTCCTCCTACAACTATGATATACCTAGATTACTTTTTATGGAAATGAGGATGAGAGTCGGCAAGAGAAATGATATTTGTTAACTTGAGGTGATTAAAACTTGTTAATTATGTGGGCGTACGGTAATAGAAATGATATTGAGTTGGTTTTCTCTGTAAAAGGTAATGAAATCTGTTGTGTTCGTCATATTGCTTTCCTTTTCATGCTTTTGACTAATTTCTCTTCTAACTTTCTAATTCTGAATCGAATTTCCTTCATTGAATGGTCTTCAATGTAAGTAATTACTGAATTGTTGGTGGAAAGGTAAGGTGCTACCAGGGCACATTGTTTTTTAACGCTTGTTCCATTGGATAATTCCAATCCCTAAGCCTGCTGTTTAACTTTAAATTTGAGTAAAAAAGTTTAAAAATTTTGTTCCAACTTTTAATTCAAACTTATATCAAATGAAAAGAGATTTATTTATTTTATTCAAAATCAAGGGAAATTTAAATCTTTACTCAAATCTTTAACGGTGAGATTTTACCATTTTTTAAAGATTCAATGATTATTTTTACTCTCTTTTAAATTTGGGTTTTTCATTTTTCAGATTTGAATTTGTTCATTAAAGCCATTTATATCAAATAAAGCTTCTTATTCAAATGTTAATTTAAATTTAAGTAAAAATTTGAGTTATGATCGGAGATGCCCAACGAAGCCCATTCTTGGATGCAAATCCTCACTGCCCATAGTCTTATCCCCCTGTATAATATAATACAACAATTAATATATAATTTAGTAATTTACCACCGAGGTGGTAATCTAATTGACTTTAGTAGAGGGTGAAAGTTTCGCCTTCTTCAATGGTCGTAGATTCGAATCCTCTTGCAGTAGTAATTTTTATGAATCAGATATTGTTGGAGGATCTAAATGTGCAACTTGCATTCGATGTGTTTTGGCGATGGATACGATCATTCCAAGTCATTAGCTCCGTCTCAAATCGAATATTTTATAGCGCGAGTGAAAACTTCAAGATAACGTCTTAAGGAGTTGTTATCTCTCGTCGCTCTTAACCACCTTTTCCATTAGGAAAAAAATATGATTTGGTAATTTCTTCTAAATTTAATTTTTAAATAAGAACTATTTTATCAGACAAATAAAAATATGCTGTAAAAGTGATCTTCATGTACATCTTAGTAAGTACTATTATGTACATTTGACTTTTTCCTAGTGAATTAGTGAAGATATGATCTTTTAAAAGCTTACCATGAATAACATGATCTGAGTTAATTTGCTAACTTTTTTTTATATAGTAAATCCGACATTACCTAATTGTGGCCCATTTTTTTCCAATGCCTATGAATTAATTATCTACAAATACAGTTCTGGGTCCTCATTAATCATCTTCAATTCCCCTTTTCTTAAGAGGGATTCATCCTTGGATTAAACACATTCATCAGAGAGTAGTTGGAGAACAACACAGTTATTAATCTTTTTGGTGTTCTTGAAGATTGTTTCACATCGGAAGTGATTCTCAATGGAGCACGTTGCCGACGTGGTAACCTACAATACCTTTATTTGTTTCATATATATGTGTGTGTGTGTACATACAAGTATGAAAGATTAATTTGGTCAGTTTTTTAGGTTTTAATAGCATTACTCTAAACATATATGTCCCTCGGTATCTTTGAATCTATGTATACCTTTGTTCTGTATTCTAAACGTCTATACCCTTGATTACCATTTTCTAGGGTTGTCTTTTGAAAGTGGATGTCCATTGCCAGGCTTGCAAGATGAAGATGTTGGAAGTGCTGGGTTCAATCTCTGGTAGATTTTCACCATCTTACTTTCAGTTAGTGTGTAATAGTCAGTTGAATTGCAAAATCTGATATACACATACACATACACATATATACATATACATAGTGACATGTAAATATAATAAAGTTTTACCCCCACACCCGAGAGGCACGCCTCGTGCACTTGACTGCCATTTTTTTTTGTTACTATATTAGTTGGTCGTATTTTGAAGTTGCTGACCTTGAGATCAACCCTAAAGTTTTGCCGTTAAATATTCTAGGAGTTTATTCTGTCACCATAGATGCACAAGCAGGGACGGCAAAAGTTTCGGGTGAGGTTGACCCGAACCTGCTTCTTAGGGCCTTAGCAAGATCCGGAAGACATGCAGAACTCATATGGGTCAAGCTCAATCACCCAGTACTGAATAGCTCTAATTATGACAATGGATACAGTCCGTATGGCTCGTATGAACCGTACAACTACGGTGCCAATGGCTCATATGGCTATGGTGCCATAGATGAACCCTACAGGTACAGAAGGGCTTTGCAGGAACATTCATATTACGATACACACCAACAATACTATTACTACCCGATGAGAAGGGCAGTTTGGGAATATCCTACTTCCAGCACAACCATTCGCTACGGCTACGGCTACGGCTCGCCGCAACGGGCTAGGTATGTCCCGGGATATCCACCACCGGTGTATGATTCTTACGAAGATGAACCCATCAACTTTTGCTCCGTTTTGTGATCTACAAAAGGCATGCATGGCTTGTTTTTTGGTTTCTTGACTAGCAAGAAAACTAATAGTCTTAGAATTAAGCACGTGGTCTAATTTGGACTTGCAACTTTGTTATGATATTCCTAAGGTGGAAGATTAGGGTTTTAATACTGAACTTTTGAGTATTCCTTCAAGTTTTCTTTTCTTCTCATTGAATGTAATGAACTTAAGTAGCATGTATGGCTACTTGGCCAACTGAGATTAATTACCTTAATTGAATAAATCATATTAGTTTATTTAATTGACTATTTTTTCCTTGTTATATATTTTGTGTGGTGGTGTTTAAAATTGTTTATAAAACTGTTTATGAATCAAATTTTGATCTGAACCCGAATTCGATTAGACGGATGTGAATTATTTTTGAAACTAATTATCTGAATCCGATTAGACGGATGTAACAAGTACACCATACACAAAACCTTTTGCATATCTTAGATAATTTACAATTACATTGTACCTCAAAATGCCCCCCCTCTCCCACCAACAAAAAATAATAAAATAAAAATTACTATTTATATATTGGCACACAGAGGAGATGAGACTGTGTTGGCTTGTAGACAAGCTGTATATTCTTTTTCAGATATCCTTGACCATTGACCCAAAAAAACTTGCTACCCCTTGGGGCTGTCATCATGCACATTTAGCCACTGATATGATTATGACATAATCAAGTAGCAATTACAAAAACCCTATTATAACTTGTTCATTGGGACAACTAGTCACTGCATCTTACGTGCAAATTCCCTGAACAGAGCACTAATCCGAGTAGATGCAACCAAGGCAAAGTACCTTGTTTGACTCCATTGTGCACATTCTCACTTTCTTCAGGTCCATTTGGTTCATTGTATCAAAACTTTATTGTGTTGCATTTGGCTTATTACATATCAAAACTTGTTCAAATCACATCTAATTCGCTTTTAATAGTTTGTGGCTAGATCATTTCGATCTATTAGTTAACTGTGTCAGACTAACTGACTCTATTATGGTTGAAATTTTTTAAAATCAAATTATTGCCTAATAATTTGATATCAACTTTTTATAAAAAGAAAAATAGATGCATGGAAAAAAAGATATAATTGAAGAAGCAAGAAAAACAGGAAATAAGGCTACAATATTAAAAGGTAGTTTTTTTTTTTGATAGTATACTAAAAAAGATTAATTCTTAGTTATAGACCTTAATTTAAATTGTTTACAGTAATTACTCGTAGAAATTTAACTAATATTAGAGTCAGGAAGTTGAATTGTCAACTTATAAAAGTGAACAAAAATTATTTTTCTCTAGCATAAAGTGGCAATTAGGGCCGACAATTGAAAGATTGACTCGGATAGGAATCTACTTGGAATCTACACGAGTTGAGCTTGAACAATTTGTTAGATTTGTTTAGAAAATGAGCCTAAAAAGATTTAGCTTAAGCTCGAGCTCGTAAAATTTGACTTGTGTGTATATAAAGAGTAATGTTACATTGATCAAATTTTGGGATCAAATTTAGAGTTTAAATGACATGGAAGCTGACTTGAGCTTCTTTTTTGGTGTCATATCATTTGAACCTCAATAAAAACTTCAAATAATATACTTTCATGTCATTTAGGTTTCAAATTTGGTTCCAGTCAATGTAGCATTGCTGGCATATAAAATAATCGAGCTATTCAGATTCAGTTTGAATTTGACTCGTTTTAGACTTGATTTAAGTTCGATTCATTTTTTAAATACTAAATTTAAATAATTTTTTAAAATCGTTTAAAATTACGAGCCCGTAAAACTTGGCTGGATTATCAGCCTTTTGACAGCGACAGTAATGGAGTTTTGAGGAGTCAGATTTTTTCCAACTCTAAGTCGGTGAGTCCCGAATAGTGAAACCACATGACGCACACCCTACCACCGGCATCCAAACACTCCCATTGTAAGACTCAAAGTGGGTATTTTCGTCCATCAAATTTCTCCACACCAGCTCGTAGCCGTTCGTCATTTTCAGAAGTTGAACTCAAAGCCCTAACAAAACCCTGATTCAACACGCCTGCAATCTCTCTCTCTCTCTCTCCAATCCGTTCAATCCTATGCGAAGCTCGAAGTGAATCGGAGAAGATCAATAATGTCTGCAATAGCTCGTTCTCGGATTTTCTCTATCATATCGAAGAGAAAGAAGCGTCCATTTTCTTCGAGCGTGACTACAGATCCTCCCAAAGAACCAATGATTTCTTCTTCCTCTTTTCTCAACAATCAAGCTCCCGCCCCTCCTACTTCTCCTCCGCCACCGCCTCAGCCGCAGGCGACTGCAGCAGAGAAGAAACCATGGAATTTTCTAAAATACAGTCTCGTCGCGGCACTTACCGGAGGCGTTGCTACAGCTAGTTACGCCACCTACGGTATTCTTCGCTATCTTTTCATATACAGCTGTTTATCTCAGATAGGTGTTTTACACGTGATTGAAGGGAAGAAAAATGTTAAATGTGTGAGGTTCGTTTGATTGATTTCGAAATTATTGAATTTTTTTGTCTTTTTTTTTTTTCACAGCATACAGTTTGGATGAAATTGATCAGAAGACAAAGGCTTTGCGTTCATCGGCTAATTATTCCACAGGGGATGATGCATCTGCCCTTGATGTGAGTCTGACATAGCTCTCCTATCAATTTCTTGTGAATTTGTTATGAGCGAGTATGATTTTTGGAGAAGTCAATACGGTGCTTTTAGTCATGTAACAGTTGCTAAGAATCATGAATTCGGATCCAGTTTAATAAGAATAAGATCTGTATTAAAAACATGAACTGATTTTCTCATGATGCGATTGAGTGAGGGTCCAAGAGCCAGATCACATAGAACGGGAGCGAGAGGGCGAAAGCGCAAAATTTCAAAAAAAGTTGAGAGGGGGAATGTTACTAAAAGCGTCAAAATTATATATATATATATATATATATATATATATATATATATATATATATATATATTACATTGTGATTGTCAAAAATAATATAGAAGTTAGCAACAAGTGTGTACATAATTTTTCAATGAACAATTGGGAACACAGTGATCCCAAATCGATAACTTAGCATTAAGAGTAATGGGAACACAGTGATAAATTCTTCCTCCATCCCGCATCGGTAGTGTAGGAAAAATTTGAAGGGGAGACATCTATTAAAAAGCACAGGTGTTCACCTTTTTGTCTAAGAATTAGTGTGTTCACACCAGAATCGTGGTTTCATTCTAGTTTTAGTGTTTGTTTACACACAAATTATGTTCTCCCTTAGATAGAGTGCATTTTGCAACATAATGATGTCCATTTCTAAGGATTTGTTTTACTTGCACAAGAATCATCTTTTTCTTTTGGAATAACTGTACTTGAAACGAGAGTGAAGCGTTCTCCCAATTTGGCGTCACTGAAACATGAAGAATGTTTTCTTTTAAATGTGGGATCGTTAATTACCAGAATCATGTTTTCTTCAAAAAAATGAAGTCATTGAGTTTGAAATGGTGTTTTCTTCGAATCCGCTCTGAATTTACGAATTTGCAATCCGAGTGGAAATCTGTTGAGGTATTTGAATTAATTGTGTAATCTAGTCCAAGGGTAGTTTAGACATTAGACTGTTTAAGTCACTTCAAGTATCTTTACTTTTTTTTGACCGTTCTATTATGCATTGCGATTGGATAATGCCAGACATCAGAGTCTTAAGGAGTTGTCTACCAGTTGCTTGGTAGAATTAAGTGATTGGGACATTTGTGATTGTTGATATCAGCCTATGATTGAAGATCTTGACAAAATGTTACAATAGAAAAAACAAACAAAGACCTTGTATTATTTGCTGAAAAAAATGTGTTACTGGAGTAAACCCTCTATATTGAATACAGGGATTATATGTCGATACTTCAATATGTTTCAAGTACTGCTGTTGGATGTGTCACGTCACATGCATAGCGGCCCCCAGTTCATATCGAGATTATTAGTTATTGGAGACTAAAATTCACATCTACCTTCATTGGTCATAAGCCCCAATTGAAAATAGTGTGATTTTGGCATATTTTTTAAATGTTCAAATGATAATGAACAATTAACAGAACCGTCTGTGCATTATGATGATACAGACCTCACCAAAATTAAACATTCTGGCACAATCTCCTTTAAATGTAATGCCAATGTCCAATGCTATGCTGCGATGGGTTTGTCACAAAAAGTTCTCCTAATAAGTGTGATTTTTCTGTTTTTGTTGTTGGTGGTGTGTGTGTGTGTGTGTTTGGGGGGTGGGGGGGTGATTGATGTGTGTCCACGTGTGCATAATTCAACTTTATTCACTTGATTCCTAGATTTCCTACAATATCATTGTTTCTTATAGTGTGAGAGGATGAGGAGTGAAAATATGACATTCCTTCATCTACTGTGTGCAGAAATTTCAAGCTTTGCTATACTCTGCAGCAATGACAGGTGAGCTCTTTAAACTATTCTCAAACCTGTGTTGCTATTTCTTTAGCTTCTCGAAAAAGAATTGACTTTACTACCTACAATAATTCATAGTTCTTTTTCATCAAATTTCCCCTGTTTTATGTCTGTGCGTCCTTTTTGAGATTATGTTTCCTCTTCCTGTGAATTGAATATTTATTTCTGTTGATGAATTTGGTCTTATTATCTGCATATCATTCCATGTAATTTTGACATTCTCTTTCAAAAGCAGTTGCTTCAAAAGAGGTAAACTGAATTTGGGTAATCAACCTTTTTGGTATTGTAATGAATGCCAGCGTGGCCTGGAAAGATACTGCTGATTTGGCGGCCTTTCCTCTCAGTTAGTGGCAACTTTTGGTTTTCCATACCCGTGCTACATTCAGTAAGCGAGGGATATCTCCTGTAAATGTCAGAGGAGTGCACATACTTTGGGGCCATTGCTGTTTTTCACCTGATAAGCGGTTTATAGTGTAAAGTGACGTGATTAAGGTTTGGAAAACATTCATTGATGCCATTTTGTGGTTTTTTGTTTTGTTTTTTTTTTTTGGGGGGGGTAAGTGTCATTTCGTAGTTGGAGTTGTGAGATGCCTTAACTTTTTGAATGTTACTGTTACTATTTTTACTGGCTCAATAACTTGTATATCCTCCTCTTTGTATCTCCTTCATCCTAGGAAGCACGGATACTCGCCGGAGGGTCGCCGTGGCAGTGTCGGACACGGATACACGTGTCCGACAGTTGTAGAAGTGTCCTGAACAGTGGCTTTGGATTTTTTTTGTCGGATACGGCTCGAATACGCGGGGGATATGGGAGGGATACGGCGGGAGTATTTTTGTTATTTTAAAAACTTAGGGGGCTGAAATGAAAAAAAAAAAACCAAACTACGCTGGCTTGAAAAAGAAAAAACAAAAGCCGTCTGCTTGACGAGAGAGAGAGAGAGAGAGAGAGAGAGAGAGAGAGAGAGAGAGAAGAGAAGAGCTCGAGAGGACCAGAGGAGGAAGGAAGACTAACCTGCAACCGCGACCTGGATCTGGACCTTCAATTGCTGCCCAGTCTCTTGCAGGTTCTTGTTGCTTCAATTTTTTTTTTTCCAGATCTGCTATTGCTCCTCTTACTTCTTCTTCTTTTGGTCTGTGTGGTGGACTTTAAAAAATTTGATTAGGTTAATTTGATTGGGTTAGGGTTTTAGGATTTTCATAATTTTGGGATGTTTTGTTATTGTTATTCTGCTGGACTCCTCTTACGTCGTTTGTCTTCTTACTGTATTGCTGACTTGCTGCCTTTGGGGTTTTTTTTTGGTCTGGTGCTATGTTGCTAGCTGCTATGTCTTCTGTTACTGACTTGCTGCCTCTGGGGTTCACAATTTAAGTAATGTTTGCTATGTCTTGGTTGTTTGTTATTATTAATGTTGTTGTTATATATATAAATATTTATATAATTATTTTAATTAGCCATATCCTCGCCGTATCCGTATCCTATATTTTGGAATTTTGTCGTATCACCGTATCCGTAACATATCAGATACGACACCCATATCCCTATTTGTGCTTCTTAGCCTTCATCTTTATTATTACTGGCATAAAGTAGTGGCTGTTCTTGTAGTTTTGATTCCTTTCCTTTCTCTGATGTGATGTTTCAGTGCCCTCTAAGTTGGTCGAATTTTACTTAGATCTGAGGAGGTTAACTGAAGAACAAGTTCGAGTGAGTAGCTGTGTTCTTTTTCCAACCTATCATCATAACTATATACTTTATTTGTCCTGTCATCACTTTTACGTTCAGATTATTTTTTATTTTTTTTTCTTATCTTCTGGTTTTTATTTAATTTTTTTAGTTTTCTAAATCATATTGCTTCGCCATAGGGTTTTACTGAACCAACCTCAGATAAGCTCCTGCCAGATTTGCACCCTATGGAGCAGCACGTGTTTACGCTTGTTCTGGACCTAAATGAGACACTGGTATATTCTGATTGGAAGGTAAGATTTTAATAAATGGGCTAGTTTATTAGACTATGGACTTGCTTGATGTTAATGACACACTTTTCCTGTCTTTTTTCTGAGAAGCGTGAAAGAGGCTGGCGAACATTCAAACGACCTGGTGTTGAGGCCTTTCTAGAACATCTAGCTCAATTTTATGAAATCATTGTGTATTCTGACCAACTTCCCATGGTAATTATGGTATTCCCCTTTGATTTTGTGTTACCAAATTTGTCCATTGTTGTGGAAATGACATTATCTGCCTTTCTGGCTTGTGCAGTATGTTGACCCTGTCATTGAGAGAATGGATACAAAGCATGCGGTACGCTATAGGCTATCTAGGGGTGCAACCAAATATGAAGGCGGGAAGCATTATAGAGTAAATTCATCATGTTATTCACATATCATGTGTCAGTTTTTCTTCCTTATATCTTCCATTGCAGTGGACATCCCGTTGTTATGATATGCAATTCCTACTGGCAGGACCTCTCAATGCTGAACAGAGATCCCTCAAGGATTCTTTATGTGAGTGGTCATGCACTAGAAAGTAGCCTTCAACCAGAAAACTCCATACCAGTAAAGCCATGGACGGGTGATGCAGATGATACAGCACTTCTGGATCTTATTCCGTTTCTTGAATGTAAGCTTCCTATGATTACTAGAATTTGTGTAACTGGTACTGTGACTCCATGATGATTTCGTGCTATATATTTGATCTCTTTGCTAAGTTTGCATGACACATTGAGATTGATGAGCTGCCTGTGCAGATGTTGCCCGACATAGACCAGCTGATATCCGACCTGTACTAGCTTCATATCAGGGACGTGATATTGCCAAAGAGTTCATTGAACGATCGAAGGAGCATCAGAGGTAATGTTTCTCCTCAGCTTGGTTTGTCGTAAAGGCTTGTCCTTGGAATGAGTTGGAGATTTTGTGATAGCTCTATTTATACGCGTCTATCCTATCTACTTGTCTAATTCAAATGTTGTGAGAATAAAATACAATAATCCACAACTTTTTCTTAATATTCGGGAAATGTTCGGTGACAACATTGTAGTTTCAAGCGGAAGTCTTCTTTGAAAGAGCCGTTTGTCCTGGTGTGTCAGAGTTAAGAAACTTGAAATTCCGTAAAGATAGAGATGAATGTGGAATTAAAATTTTAATTCTCGTTGACATCTTCATGGAATTGTGCCAAAACTCGGAATGTTGGTATAATTTATTATAGATTAATGTATCGTAATGGGAGCTTCCAAATAGAATTGATTCAGATTAGCCCTAGTCTGACTGACATTTTGGTCTCAATGATGCAGGCGAATGCAAGAGCAAAAGCAGCATGGCCGTCTCTGGCGGCGCTGAAGGTCGCAATATGTGAGAGTTATTGACGGATGTTATGAAACATTCGAGTCCACCTTGAATGAGGAAACAGACGAATATAATGACACATATGTCGTCTAGTTATACGCCATTTTGTGTGTTGATCATTTTCAGCACCATTATCTTTAGGTTCTTTCCCGGACCGTAGCATTACCACCACCACTCCAATTTTTCCCTTCATTGTGAATGAAATATGCAATTTTGGCTACGGCAATTTAGTTACTGGTACGATTATGTTCTAGTCTTGATGTTACATCATCTTCTATAGATAGTGGACCTACTTGAATAAACTAGATCTCACATGAATTCATGGTAAGGGGTCTCGAATGTAATAGAAGGAATTTAGATGCATGGTTAAGGGGCATGATGCCTTGTTATCGAGCGTGAAACACTGTTCCCGACTGAAACTAGAGAGGGCACTTTTTGCCTTTCTTAAGTCTAAGGTACAAAAAAGATTCTTACCCACTAAAACGATTGAGAGGGGATTTCAGGTTTAATAGTGTCGAGAAGGCATTAAATAACACCAACTGTAATTTCATAAAAGTACCATTAGGCGGTGCTTCCTCTTGAACCTCGAACAAAAAATTAATCTCAGCCAGATGAATCCACCTCATCAGCCATGAGCAACTGTGGGTGTACCATTTGGCTATGACTTGGTCATTCGATGCAGCTACGTATGCTCCTAGTCTGGTCCCTTCATCTCCCCACATCAATCAATAAGTTGGGTTTAGGTTCAGTGGTTCAAAGAATGTGCAGCAAGGTAAGAGGCAAATTCCAAAACAAAGTAGTGTAAATAAGAAAGCATCTCTAATGTTCTTGCCAGATAATAACACTAACACATGCGCTTGAATTTTCTCATTAAAATTGACAACCAATAGTGAAGTTACATACAATAGTATTTAACAAACTTCCCTTCTTAAAAAAAAAAGTTTTGTAAAAGGGAAGGGGGGGGGGGAGAACGCATCAATGTAATTCACAAAAGCCTATGTTTTAATGACAAGACAACATCAGCTAATCAACAGAATCATAAATCAGCATCAGTGATGGTATTTTTCTGAAATGCTCCATGATGAAGACACGTGTCCTCGGTATTACCAAAACACTGTTGCTAAGATCAAGCACCATCGGCGCACAAAGGTCCTCGCCCCTGAGGTACTCGTCATATAGGATCATGGCATTCAGTACGTTTTACAACCAACACGTAGCCTCGGTCTGATATGGTACCTCGGTCGGTATCCCTCCCTCGGTTCCGAGATGAGCCTTTCCTCGGTGCCGAGGTGTACCCCGTCCTGGACGCCTCCTCTACTCCAGGATAAGCTATTGACGTACAGGTCATTAGCCTAGGCTAGTCTAGGCTATTCATCATGACCTCGTCTTACACAATTAGTGTCAGAACGTACTGGAATGCAGGGGCCACAGCCAATGGGGGATGGACGCGTGGCATATGATATCACATCGAAGACAGAGAAACCGCATGCCGTTGCTGACACGCGACTTGGGAAAGCAAACGATTAATTACACCATTCCCTTGATGAGACCGCATTCAATGCGGTAAGGCTCGGAAATGAAAGGCAATAAATGCTCCTAATACAGAGCATTTATTGCATCCTCCCCGAGAGGAGTACATTGTACCGTCGGCATCCCGATGACCCAGCATTGATTGCTCGGGACCCCGAGCAGTTAAGAAGAGAAGACATTCCTCATCAGAATCAGTGCGCACACTGCCTGTACCTAATGATCACCTACTGACTACACTGACAGCAATCATGAGCTTTTGAGGTATAAATACTCCTTGCAAAAGGCAAGACGGGTATGCAACAAAAAACTCTTTACTACAATACACACTCAGTGTTTTCTCCTTCCTCTCTCTTTCTCAAAGACTGACTAGATCGTCGGAGGGGATACGCCGAAAAACACTCCGGCGCCCTTCTAACTTGTTCTTCTTTGTTCCAGGGACCTCTTTCAGCCTTACTGGATCGTTCTTCCGCTCCCCCAGGGTCTCCCGTTGCCGTTCCAGGTTACCACCGGACCTCGCAGGCTGTTCCAAGCAGCGTGGTTGGTCACTCAACTGGCTCACTCGAGTTCACCAAGGGAGAGATCTGTTCTCGTTTTTTATATTGTGCAGGATCTTGCACGCACAATCTGGCGCCGTCTGTGGGAAACGACTAGTTTTCCTAGTTTTTTCTCTATAAAGAACAGTGACCATGGTGAACACTCGACAGAAAGGGAAAGGACCCCCACCAAAGGAGTCTCGAGTTACAAGCTCCCTGTCATCACGGAGGAAGGGATCACACCGATATGAATAAAAGTGCCTCTACTCGGTCAAGAGGGGTTACCCCTCAAACCAGTATGGGAATCAGGTCAGGGGGATCAGCCCCCTTGGCTCGTCAGCTGGCGGAGGTGATTGAAGAAAAGTTCGGCAATAGATTACGACAGCTGGAAAAGGACAATGTAAACGTCCTAAGCCGGCTCAACGAGTTTGCCGCCTCTGGCGAAGGATCGAGGGATTCATTCCTTTCTCGTGGGCTTCCCGCCCGGGAGGCGGAAACGAAGGATCTAAGAAACCACCTAAACAACAAAGCAGAAAGCTCTAGGGCCCCAAAGCGACCCAGAGCCGGCGAGCATCATCATGACAACCATTCAAGGAAAGCAAGGCCATTGGCCCTGGACGACCTCCGGCGAGGTTTGTCTAGACGGAGGAAGGGAGATGAATCCGAGGAGGACTCAACCCAATCCACACGACGCCCAGGAAATGAGGGGCTTACCGATGAACTCAAGGACTTCAGAAGGCATCCCGTCAGGGAAGAAATTGATCTCAGAGCCCGGTTAGACTCCAGGAGAAAGGGTAAGGCTGTCCAGGATGAGGCCGAGGACGAAGTCATACAAACACCCTTTACGAGGGAGATCGGTGAGATGGAGGTTTCAAGAAAGTTTGTCGTGCCGCGGTTCAAAACTTATGACGGGCGGTCCGATCCCGAAGCCCATGTCAGGCAATACAAGCAGATGATGTCCCTCTATCATTCGGACCAACGGTTTCTCTGCCGAGTGTTTCCTATGAGCTTGGGGGACTCTGCGATGAAGTGGTTCGAGGCGCTTCCCCCCAACAGTATTGGGTCATGGAAGGAATTGACTAAGCAGTTCCTGGCTCGATTCATTACGGGGAGTAAGCGCCCCAAAGACATTGGATCATTGCTGACCCTCAGAAGGAGGGAATCCGAGACTCTTCGCCAGTACGCCATCCGATACTGGGAAGAGGTTAATGAGGTAGAAGGCTGCTCGGAGGTCATGGCAGCAGCATCTTTCCGGCTCGGCTTGGCAAGGGACACGGACCTGTACCGATCCCTGACCAAGAAGACTCCCTCGGATATGGGGGAACTAATGGCCCGGATAAACAAATACTCGAGGGTTGAGGACGAGATGGGAAGCAGCAAAGGCCGAGCCCTCCAATCTAAGAGAAAAGAGAAGGAGCGGGAAGATATTCCCCGAAAGGGATTGCTACCCCCTCCAGGGGGTCCGTCCAAAGGAATTCACACTGTGTTCAAGGAACCCATCTTCAAGCTGCTCCATAAAATCAAGCACGAGCCGTTCTTCAAATGGCCGCCCAGGATGCAGAGCGACCCCTCCACCCGTGATCAAAAGGTTAGGTGTTCCTATCACCGGGATTTCGGGCATCGCACCGAAAGCTGCAGGGTGTTCAAATCGTTCTTGGAAAGATTGGTCCGAGACGGATATTTGAAAGAGTACATAGAGCCCAGGCCAGAAGAGAGACAAGCCCTTGCCCCGACCGAGGAGCCGGACAACATCATAGATGTCATCCATATATGTCCCCTGGATCGCCCCACGTCCAAGGAACTCGAGTCCGACCTCAAAAGGGTAGCTTTTACGAGGAAGGTAGCCGAGGTTGATGTAGGGCCACCAAGTAAAAGGGCCAGGACGGGTGAGCTTGGCATTACATTCTCCGACGCGGATTTGACAGGCGTAGTGACTCCTCATAACGACGCCCTTGTCTTGACCCTGAGGATAGGAAAATTCGATGTCAAAAGGATTTTGATAGACTCTGGAAGTTCCTCGGAGGTGATGTACTCCGAAACTTTAAAACGGATGGGTCTTGGCCCCAAAGACCTCACCAAAGTCAGGACACCCCTCATCGGATTCAACGGCTCGTTCGCCCTGCCCGTGGGGAAAATCACATTGCCAGTTGTCACAGGTCCCTTTGTCATCGACACCGAGTTTGTCGTGATCGATACGGACTCTCCCTACAACGTGATTATGGGGCGAACATGGCTGCATGCGTTGGGAGCGGTGCACTCCACTTTCCACCAGAAATTAAAATTCGCCACGCCAGAAGGTATCATGGAGATCCGGGGGGACCAAGCGTCCGCGAAAAATTGTTTTTATTCAGCCGTTCGAGCCGGGGCGTTCAGCCAGGAGAAGGGGCGAGCACCGGAAGAGATTATGGAAAAATAGCAATTACAGTCCGGGCGTCCAGGAATGGATGACCCCCGGATAGACCCAACTGAGCGGTCGGTAGAAGACCTCCGGAAGGTGCCCTTGGTAGAGGGAGAAGAAGAGAGGTATTTCTTAGTTGGGACCTCGATGCCCACAGCCGAACAGGAGGAGATGATCGAGTTCCTAAGGGGAAATACAGACGTGTTCGCGTGGAACGAGATGGAAATGACGGGGGTAGACCCCGAGATAATCACACACAGGCTGCATGTTGACCCGTCGCACAAGCCAGTCAAACAGAGGCCACGACGCATGGCCCCGCATCACACCAGCGCGGTCAACGAGGAAATCGACAAACTCCTGAAGGCCGACGCCATTCGAGAGATACAGTTCCCAGAATGGCTGTCTAATACGGTGTGCGCAAAGAAGAAAGGGGGGAAATGGCGTGTCTGCGTAGACTTTACAGATCTAAACAAGGCATGTCCCAAGGACGACTACCCCCTGCCAAAGGTGGACCAGCTGGTAGATGCCACTGCCGGATATGAACGAATGGACTTCCTGGATGCCCGAGCAGGATATCATCAGATCCCTCTCTATCCCCCGGATCAGGAAAAGACGGCGTTTATCACTCCGAAGGGAGTTTACTGTTACAAAGTGATGCCGTTTGGACTAAAGAACGCCGGGGCAACATACCAAAGACTGATGAATCGGATGTTCAAAAAGCAGATCGGCAACACCATGGAGGTCTACATAGACGATATGCTGGTGAAGAGCAAACGGAGTTGTGATCATCTGACAGATTTGGCGGATACCTTC